TCCATCACGATTGCTTGCTGCCCGTCGCTATTTTGAACCTCTTGTCACTGCTCATAGGGGAATATTTCATTATCATTTCATATTTTTACAAAAAGCGACACAAAGGGAATATGACTCAAGCCCTTCCACCGTCCTTGGTCGTCTCTTCCACAATAGACCACTTCGTCTCGATCGTAATCGCCTGCGCATTCCGGGGCAGCCTCTGCGTCGACTCCGTCTCCGAAATATCATCCTCGTCCGTTCCATTCGACCGCCTCCTCAACTCCCCCCTCCCGATCACCGTCGTCGTAAAGTGCACATCGTTCTTGCCGTACATCGTCTCGAGCGGAATTCCGTTCGTCAAGTCCTCCACCAGGTGCTCGTGTTTGCACGACTGGCTATTGCCGCCCAGCCGCGACACGTACTCGTCCGTCTCGAAGCGGCGGTGCTTCCAAAAGGCCCAGAGCGGGAGCAGCATCGGCAAAGAGTTGCAGAGGATGGTGAGGTTCGTTTCAAGGACCGTGAGGAAGGTCGCGACGGGCATGTTGCGGACGACTTGTTCTAAACTGTAGACATCGATCATGATGCGGAGCCTGACGATGGAGGCGATGATGGCACTAGATAGGAAAATGTTAGACAACGACGCTCGTTCATCCAAGACAACGCTTTATCGATCCGCCGCTGTTGATGGAGGGGAACCACAACTCACATGAGATTCAACAAGAACACACCACTCAGCCCCCACCGCGTCGATACGCTGACCTTCTTCAAGCTCCAAATCGTGTAAAGCGGGACCAACATGATGACAGTGTTGGTGATGCAGTTGAACAGCCCTGTCGAAAGGATGCTTGCCTCGTGCTCGCGGCAAATGTCCTTGTTCGTCGCGTGCCATTTGCCGTTGGTGATGTGGCAGACCAGCAGAGTTTGAAGGATGTTACCGATGCCCCAGAGAATAACGATGAGGAAGGTCATCTTGGTCGCCAAGCGCATAGGCGGGCTCGTGAAGACGCGGAGGTAGAAGAAGAGAACGCTGAGCTTCGTCGTTAGGCTGACGAAGCCAAAGATGGTATCGGAAGGGAGGAAGAGCTACGATTTGCCGCCATGATTAGCAACCGATCAGATCCGAGTAGCCCCCATAATCTCACAGCGAGTTATGAGATCGATTTGATAGGGAAACTCACAGAATCCAAAAACGTCCAGTTCGCCTCGACCTGCGAAAGCTCATATCCAAGACCGGCGGACGTCCCTGTAGCCAAGTTTTAGCAACATATTCTCCAGACAACCCATCTTTGAGCCTCCACGGCATAGTTTTGTAGGATACTCACAAAGTCCTTGTATCACCAACAAAGCAATCCCCTGAGGAACAGCCAACAACGTAAAGTAGTCATCCCAGCCCAGCCTAGACCCCGCCAGCACACGAGAGACGACCCGAAGCGCAACCACCAACACCGTCACGAAAGCCACCACCGAGTTGGCAACAAGATACGCCGAAGCCTGAGGCACAATAGGCATCTTGGTGTACTGCATGTGGGGAGAATTTTCTCCGTCGTCGTTCGGGATGCCGAAAGGGTGCGATCGCGTCGGTTTGGCCTGAGAGGCTTTTCCTGGTGACTTTGGCGGAGTGCACCGTGCCGGGGTTGGGAAGAGAAAACGAAAAGAAACAGAAGAATTCCGAGAGATTGGGAGGGGCAGAGGAAAAAGGGAATACAGGCCATGTTTAAACTCGAGATACTGCTCCTCGCTTCACTTTGCTTAACCCACTCTATCGCTTTCTCTCTTTCGCTCGCTCTTGCAACAAGCAATGCAAACAGGGATAAGGTCACATTGAGTTTCAACGCATGGGAAAACGCGCCTACGATTCTCGCTCGAAAGGGCAATGACTCGCACTGGGGCGTTATTGTTCCCCCCTCCTCCCCTGATCTCGCTTCCCCCGGGCTATATAGTGGACACCTGACTGTGCTGACTCGGAAGGGTGGACTGAAAGACAAGAAAAAGACTACGTAGTAGACATATCGTTGAGACCTGCCCAAAGAATTAGCAGAGAAACCCACGATGCTAGGAACGCAATAGCCCGCACATCCACATCCCGACTTGAGGCGGCTTTCCCATTCGCCTCGCTTTCTGAGCCTTGATTCCTTGCGCCCTCCCCTGGCCTAGCGTCGTCCGGGGCCCTTCGCTAATACCGACAATGTCCATACCTAGACTTGTTACTCCACGCTAGACTCTTCAACACAGAATCACATAAATCCTCCTTTCCCCCCTTGTTCGTCACATGCCTTACCCGGGGGACGCCATCGCTTTGCAAGTTTGCTCCTAGTGAAGTTGCATCTGTCAAGGTCGCTTCGGTCTTGGTACAGCCGCCCCTGGCTCGGAGACCTATGCGGCATACTGGGATAGTTTAAGAATTTATGGCTTTCAGCGCGGCATTTGATTGCTGCGCATCCAACCCCAATGGAGGCGAGCTGCGGGATGTGGTGGATCTTCCCCGATGTCACACGTGGGCGCAAAGTTGCACTCGGAACTCTTCGACCATTGAGCGTCGAGAGGAGCACGGAGTATACATATATAATTGGAAAGAATATGCAACCTGTTATCAGGTTGTTGAAGGAGTTGCTTTTCAGACTTCTTTGCTAAAATATGTGATAAGTACGTAATCCTCATGGGCAAAAGTCGAAAACTCGGGCAAGTACACTGCGGATCGTTAGTCAAGCGTCGGGAAGCGGCAGGTCGATCAACAGCAATTACCAAAGACTCAAGCACTTACCTGAATGTGGACATCACCGAGCATCAATGAAAAAGCACATGAATGGTTCGATGCCTGAGCGCTGAGCTGAGCCCGGCTCTCTGGTCTCCATTCCCAAAGAACAAATTCAATCCAATTGCGGATACCATTTCCATCGTCAACAAGCAACCCCCACCTAGACCCTTGCAACTAGGGCGCTAGTTGGTTGCAAAATAGAATGGCTGCGCTATTAAGGTTAATTACGTCTATGAACCTAGGGGCTTCGGGCGGGTCTGGCTTTCGTCAACAGGAACGCTACGGATAGCAGCGTTCGCTGGCCTTGCCTAAACCGGATGGTTAGTGCCGGGGATGGGTCGACGTCAACGTCCTGTCTTGGGAGTTGCTATCCGGACATGGCGATAAGGTTAAGAGAACGCTTTCACGGTTGCGAGACGAGAACTTGGCGCGAAGGTCGCGTCTAGCATGAAGTTACAACCCCCATGTCGCGTTCAATCAAGGTGTTCCCAGTCAAAGCACCTAGCATCCACGAAACGAGGAGTTTCTCAACTCTGCCTGATCAAGACTCGAAGTAAGTAAATAGTACAACTTGAACTTTAGTCTAGAATTATGGAATCCATTTACAGTTGGTTGGCAATATTCAGCCTCAAAGACCAGTAATTCATTCCTTTTGTGGTACATTAACGCAGTGCTCAAATACGAGCTGTTTGCAACTTGAACAATAGAGCTTTCATATTCCATCATTTCAAGGGTCTGGGTCTTTGGTAAAGCATATTGTCGGTCATTGTCTCCGAGTATCCAACAACAATGATCTTTGAGATAGTGGTTGAAAGGAGCTAAAAGCATCAGGGCGTATGGACGGTAAAACAACAATGAATTCAAAAGCGGCAAATCGAGAGCCCTTCTAAAAGCAAGTCACGAGAGTACGATCTTATATCTATCGATCTACATTCCGCCGTCTTAGACTAGTTTGGACTCATCAAAGTCGTCAACTCACACTGCTCACTGCAGTCTACGACTAACCATTCAGACAAGGTAAGTGACTCACCCCCAGCACATAACTAATATCCTCTCTAGACACCTCCACCCATTCCATTCCCACAGCCTCCAAGCTCAACTATGTCCTCCCCATCCCCATCCATTACCTACCCCCCTCGAGGCGTGACAGCCTACACTTCAACCCCCGGTCCCATCCACGCTCCCAACCTCGAAGCCCTCGACCTCCTCCGCGCCCGTCCAGACTACGAATCCTGCATGCCGACCCTAACCTCCCCCGAACTCGCAACAGACTGGGACGCCCACTACCTCCTCCCCAACCCCTACCAGAACCCACCCACCCTCGACTCCGTGACGAACCCCCTCCGCGTCTCCCATGCCGAAATCGACGCAACGTGGGACCCGTATAAACTAGCCGCCATGATCACACGAACCCACCAGGACATGAATATCCTCGACCACACTATCGTCGAGGTGCAGAGAGAAAAGTACGACGTGGACCGCATCCTCGACGACGTGGAGCGCAAGAGGGATGGAGGACGGTATCCAGACTCTTGGACGAGCTCCTCTTCGTTCTCCTCCTCGTTTTCCAGACGTGGATGGAACAGCGATGACTATCGTCGACGTCGGGCAGCAATGTGCAACAAAGACATCACGCCCTCCCGGCAGTACAGGGTCAACCCAGGATGGGACGTTTATAAACTCCGCGAGGTCTTTTCAAGTCTCCAGACTGATGTCGGAATTGAGGTAGGTCGACTTGCTGACGTGGAGACAGAGTTGCGTCGCAAAGTGCTTCAACTTAACAGACTTTTATAAGAGGCATCGAGTGTGCTGAGTTTAGAGCAGGTCTGTTCTCTACCGGAAAAACATGGGAACTAATCTTTGAAGTTTGAGAACAGGGGTAGCGACCCAGTTACGTTGAACGTCAACTTCAAGCGCAGAATCGGGGACGGCGGAGATGCTGAGGTAGGGAAGCACAAGTAGAGAAGAATTTGATTTTGCCAGACTTTCTGTCTATGAGACAGAGGCTGGCCTCATACGCCTTATTAATGGCTAACCATGGTATCTATGTGCCCTGAGCAAAATGTGGTATCATAATCTCGTGACCTGTGCAAAGTAACTCCGTGAGCTTTTCCATCCGATGAATCATGATCCCTGTTCATATCCCGAATACCATGTGTAACGGTGCCTCGCCATGTTGCTCTCCATCATTAGACATGCTCGGGCCCCTCATTCCAAATAACGCCACCAAATGCCGCCTGCTCAACTGAGTCGGACGTGTACTTTAGTCCTCTTGAATATCCTCCTCGTTGTCCGTCTCGAGGAGGTCCAAGAGACTAGGGTGCGGTTCGCCACAACACGGGCAGATGCCAAGCTCGTCATCGTCGCCCATCATATCCTCAATGTCCTCCATGGGGTAGCCACTGCTGCGGCAGAACTCGGTCCACTGGCGGTCATCACCATCCCCGTCGCGGCTCTTGGGCACCCTCTTCCAGATCGTCAAGTCCCGACGGCTAGGCGCGGACTTGGGATGGCCTGTCTCACGGGGCGCAGGAGGCATGATGGGCTCCTTAGGATGATAGTGGCCTTCATCAGTTTCATTTCCAGGGTCAGAGTCGGAATCACCGTCGTCTTCCCGCTTTGCCTTTATTGTCTTCCAGGCCCGAACAACACGCGCGCAACTCGAGATGCCCGGCAGAGGCTTCAGGGAGTTTTTGACTTGAACAAACGAGGGCAAGCCAGCAAGAAAGAGGCCCTCGTCGCGCAGAAGCCCAGTAAGCTCTGCGGTGGCCTTGCTGCCAGCATCGTCAATGGGAAGACCGGTGACCTGCAACTCATTCAGAGAACAACCGAGCTCGTGTGATGCCACGTCGTGCAGGTCGCTGCTAGGCATAGGGAGAAAGTCGTCGATAAAGTTCACCAAGTCAATCCTAAGCGACTCAAGGCCAGGAAGCAGCTTGGGACGGACTAGCCTTTTGTCATGCTTGGGATCGAATGGAGGACGGAGGGCACGCAGGAAATCCGTCACTTGAGCCCACGTGTAGCAGCGGAAGCCGCCACGGGCATAGGTTCGCTCACTGACGCGAGGAATCGTCCGCAGTGTGATGTCGCTCTTCAGAGACGGGTGGTAGGATCGCTCAAGCTTGTGCTTTCGCTTCTTGTCGTCGTAAAACTGGGCGACGATGCGGAAGTTGACATGCTTGATGTCCTTTCGGAATCCAAAGTCCAGCTCGGCAAAGTTTCTGACGGCATGTTCATTTGTGAAAGTGAAAGTGTTGTGGCTCCAGAACATACGGCTGCCTTCGTCGTGCATCGCCTTGCATGTCGCCAAGAAGTGGATGGCGATTTGATTACCGCGGCTTTTCTCCTGTGCTGTGAGGTTGTCCGGCGTGAGTTTCGTCAAGGGGTCGATAATCGTGTCCTTCGAGGTCATCGAGTACTTGAGAATGCGCAGGAGGACCTCTGTTGGAAGGTAAGGAAAGGAGCGAGTTCTTGAAGAGGGGTCTTGTTTCCGCCTGGCACCTGCTTGGAGGTTCTGGTAGTTGGCGGATACAGGTGACCAAGAGATGCCGTTTTCTCGGAGCAGCTTTTTCAGCTTCGCATTCTCCTCAGCAAGAGCCTGATTCGATGACCTGAGAGGCTGGTTGTAGTAGGCTTCGGCCTGATCCTCCACATCACGGCACTCCCATGGCATGATCTCCTGACTATGGATTAGCGTGCAACAAAAGTAAAGCAGAAAACAGATAGACCCACGAATTCTCGGTTTGCCATGGCGATGGATTGGGCTGCAGAGTCCGGCGAGGTTGCGAATTAGGAGGGTTCTTCGGCCTCGTGGCAGGTATGAATGGGTCTCGGTCTGTCGAGGTGGAATGCGGGCGCGGATGAGGGACTCGAAAATTTGATCCGCCGATTTGGAGTTCGGCAATCTTTCGTTGCTGGACGAGAAGTGGATGGGGGTTGAATTTGCAAGTTCCGGCCAGAGCGTTGTTCAAGGCTCGAAGAGACAACGCCACTGATTAGGTAGGTTGAACCTTGACGTCGGTGACGCAGGGTACAACAGTTGGTCGGTGTGAGTACGGAGAACAGCGAGTGACCTTGCGATGCGACTCGCGACTGGAGAAAGAATAAAAAGTGAAACGAAGGTTTGAAGGGGAAAAAAAAGAGATAGATGTGGTTCGGGCGTTCGTCTTGACGTTATGATGGAGTGGAAATGAAAGTCAGCCAAGCCGACAATCGGATGTCAGTCGGGTGAACAAATTGGCGGTAAGATGAGAGAGGAAGAAATTCCTCAGTGGCCGAGTCGTAGGTAACAAGTCGGCAGTGACGGATGACGATGCCCGAATGAGGGAGTCCTGGCCGTGGTCGGTTCGGGCTATCGAGTCGTTGAAGAGGTTAATCACTAGCGTATCCGTAGAAAGGTGACAAGAGCTCGCAGCTGAGTCGGGTCGGAATCGGCTTGTCGGTTTTTCGCGCCGTCTGCTGGCCCGCCTGTTCTATTGTGATTCAGGGTCAGCGAGGGTGAAGGCAGACTGAAGTAAATCAATCTAAGCGGACCTGACGTGGTTCATCAGTGGGGATTGAACTCTGGGCGTAGATGAAAGAAGGAAAAGAAGGGGCGGTGGAGGGTTGATGTTGAAGGGAGCAATCACGAGGGAAAAAAAAAGGTTCCAGAGATGAGAGATGACGAGGGGTAAATGCGAAGCGACGCCGCCGGGAGAGGTGGCAGATCTGCGCGTAGGCGAGGGAAGGAAAGTGGACGGGACGGGGATGAGGCAGGTGAGGACTGGACGGACCTTCTGGTGGAGTGCGGGTGACGGTGACGGCGGCCAGTGGCAGCAAGAATCGCCGACGTTTGTTTCTTCTTTGGTCCTTATTTCCCTTTCCGCCTGTCTGGCTGTGGTGGATGGTCGTGCTTGCCTACCTTACCTTACTCAGGTGGTAGGTGAGGTCGGTGAGGTAAGGAAGGTGCCTGCTCCCACGTTCGGCAGGCAAGCGACGTTGCGCCGTCTCAGGCTCTTCAGCTTTGACGGTGCCGATGTCCGCCGAAACTCCGACGTGAGCTTCTTTGCTGGAAGGCAGGCAGGCTGTAGACCGCACCTTCTTCTTTCCTAGGTACCTCTGTCTTCAGACCACGAGACTGACTGCCGGTATCAATCTGCAGGCGCTGGGTTTGGGAAAGAATCATTTAATGTGAGATACTTGTCTTGGACTATTAATTCGCCTGGCACCTAGGTAGTCACCTCGCTGCGGAGTAGCGAGCTTGAGGTGGGATGGGGTTGCAATCCTCGCGCCTGCTGTAGGCGAATGTGTTTAACGACGGTAGGAACTGTTGCATTTGACGGGGGAAAGCGCTGAACGGAACGAGAACTGTTGTATCTTTCCTGGACGGGAAGCGCACGCAGCAACTGCTACGACACACGAGACACTGGACGAGGCAATTGGCCGGCTGAATCATGATTTAGTGGGGCCTTCTGCGACTGCCCGACGGCGACTACTCGCAGATTGGATGCATTGATTGAAGATTCCCATGAGTAGTTGGATGGACGATATGACGATGCTTTTGGGGGAAGATGAGGGAAGCAACGAAACGAAGCAGTGATGAGCAGGGACGGCAGGGGCAGGGGCAAGAGGTACCTAGCGAGAGGTACCTACCTATACAGGGGTGGGTACGAAGTACTTGAGGTAGCTTCCGAATCTGCTCTGGGCTCTTGGAGTCAATTGCAGCCGTATGGAAACGAAAGGTCAGACGTTCAGCAATCAAAGATGAGAATCGCTTCTTTTCTTTGGTGGAATTGTCTTTGATAAACAGCAGTTGGATATGCTCTACCAACGTGCCAAACCGCCTGGGTATTCAGACGCAGGCCAGGAAGAAAACAAGCGCCTAACATGCGCAAACATGGCTGTCTAGCTCTCCATCTTGACCTAATGTATGTCTTGGATTGATCGATCCCGATCTGGACTTACACCGAAGGGCAGCCGCAGTTCGCAGTGCTGCATACGAGGTACCATGCAATGTTCTTTCCATAAGGTGGATAGGAAAGTAAACAGAGTGCGCCTACCTGCCTTGACATAAGGTGCATTATGTAAGGCAGGAGAGAGGTGTCAAAGGCAGGAAAGGAGACACGAGGGCAAGTACGGATGCCCCGTTGTAGCTTCCCGATCACGATCGTTGTTTGGTGGCAGCATCGGGCTCGCCAGTCACGGCATTGTGGGAGATGCCGATAGAGCACCTCAGTCTGATCCTCCAAATCACGCAAAAACTCTTACCCCAGATAATCGGAGCAACCACTAATCGTTTCTCCTCTGTCTCTCCGTGGCTGTCAATGCCTTCAGCCTTTTTGTCTGTGCCTCTCGCATCTGCATCGCGACTGGACTATGGAGAACAAAATGCCACACAGACCGGCGACAGCTGACGCCGCTGGCACAAGTCGCAATCGAAAGGCTAAATCGAAGCTCGGATTGCGCTACCTTGTCTGGGCATTTATTGATTGAAGACCTACGCTCCCCACTGGCAGGCTACCTTCGTAAGTGAAGCTCGACCGAGGAGCTCATGTGTTAAGTAGGAATTCCCATGGTTCATGTGCACTGCACGCAATGCCACACAGCAGCAGATTCGCTCCAATGGAGCACTCCACGCCCAGTGCCGATATCAACATCAACCCAGCTCCGACCACGCAAACAAGACGATCAATGATGAATTTAACCCCATAAAACGCGTCGTTCATCGAGACTTTCATGGAGCTGCCTACCTACCTACCTTGCTACCTTACCTCATGGAACCCCATTTGCCCGTGGTGCCACTGCGGGCTGGCCCCTTCTATGGCAGGCAGGAACGCCATCTGCCCCTCTGCTCTTGACGTCATGATGTCTCGCCCATTTGCTGCTCTGCAGCTCAAGCTCCCTAACCTCCGCGCGACCGACACTGCGACCCGTGGTCACTCGGCCGTCGCTCAGTCACTAGCTAGCTACCTTACCTTAGGTAATTCCTTTTGAGACCTTTCCCAACGTGCTTTTTCGATGATGAAATCGGTCGTGCCTGGCTGCACGTAGCTACAGCAATGAGGTCAGCTCGCCTGAGGGGCCGCCCTAGGTAGGAGGGGGTTCAAATACTCCTTCTACAAGAACCTCCCTCGTGCAACTCAATGTCTTCTCCTGTACTTTTCTCACGATCCATCATTCGGACTCTTCAGCTCAATCGACGCGTTCAATCCCATTCAAGACTAATCAATCCTCCCAAAACCACAAACAAACTCCCAAGAACCCCTTTTATCATGTCTTTCTCAAACACTTCCACCGGCAGCAAGCCCGCCGATCCCTATAAGGCAGCCAACCAGGACAACGATGTCTCCGTCAAGGATAAGGTCGAGGCCTTTGTCAGCTTCGCCGACAAGACCAAGTTTGCCATGATGACCACCAGAGACGCAAAGTCTGGCGCTCTGGTCTCTCGCGCCATGGCTCTGGCCGCAACGGTTCGTTTTCTACCCTGACGCCTCTCACGAGCTCTTTCTTTCTAACATCTACCCAGGAAAACGGCGGAGTTGATCTGCTGTTCCACACCAACACCGAGTCCAACAAGACGGATGAAATTGACAGCGATCCCCACATCAACATCTCCTTCATCAACAGCTCAGGTGACTGGGCCTCCGTCTCTGGTGTCTCTAGCGTCATTACCGACCGTTCGCTGGTAAAGAAGCACTACAGCCCTGCACTCAAGGCGTGGGTCGGTGACCTCGGTGACGGCACCCATGACGGCTCTGAGAACGATCCCCGCATCGGTATCATCCGCGTCAAGACCGTCAGCATTACCTATGCCCTCAGCAACGCTACCTTCATCGGCAAGGTTGCCCAGCTGGCCGAGGGTGTCGTGACCGGCAGCCCGGCAAAGGTCAACAAGTTGAGAGAAGTCTCTTCCCAGGAGGTCGAGCAGTACCGCTCAGCTTCCTCTTGAGCTAAGATGCGTAAGAGTTGTAATAATGGCGGCGGCATGTAATAATAGCACAAAGTAGATGAAGTTTACCGGCGGAATAAGCCACAAAACCCCGCCCAGTCACGGGATATGAATGACGATTATTGCTTCCCATAGTCCGCAGCCCAGCTCTTGTCAAACGTCTCTTTGTTCACCGCAAACTCGCGAATGTAGTCGCGCTCCAGCTCGTGTGCCCTTCTGCCGAGCAGAACCATGCTGTGAAGCGGACCACCCAGGATCTCATCCGTATCGCACAGCTCCTTCAGCGTGCCAGCAACATACTTCTCAGTCTTGCCTCCCACGCGCGCCGCTCCAATAGCCAGGCTATCAGGCGTATACACGCCCTCCTTCTTATCCTCTTCAATCTCGAGCATCTGCGCAGCGCACTGTCCGACAGTCATGTACCGCGGCGGCTGGTAGACCCTCCGTCCCCTCGCCATATCCTCGAGGCTCTGCTCTTTGACCTTGATGTCGAGCAGGACGAGCGTGTGCAGACCGATATCGCGGTTCTCCTTGATGCGGTCGTAAAAGGAGGCCGGCTTCCAGGTGTCGGTGAAAAAGACCATAGAGACGGTCTGGCCAAAGTTGTAGAGCTGCAAGCCGGTGGCGCCGATGCCGGACATGATGGAGGCGTTGGGAACGGTGGCGACGGGGATGGAGAGCTCGCGGGCGCGGAGGACGAGGTCGGTGTGCGTTGTCGCGCCAAAGGGATCGCCGACGACGCAGAAGGCTACATCTTCGGTCTGGGCGTCGCGGAGGATCTCGTCGCTGTTGGATTCGACCATTTCGCGGTCTGCTACTACGATTTCGCGGCCGTAGTAGGCTTCCTAGATGGTTTGACGTAAGTGTTAGACATAACCTGTCATCGGGAAAGAGAATAGTTTGAAAAGACTAGGCGCACCAAGACGGCCTTGTCGACGAGAAGGATGCTCGTGTAGGCTTCAAGGTAGACTCGCGAGGCCTTCTTGACGACTTCGAGGCCCTTGACTGTGATGTCGGTCTCGTCGGAGAGACCTAGTCCTACGAGGTACAGCATTCTGGCGGTTGTTCTTCTGCAACTTTCCAAGGGAAGTATTGGCGCGTGCTCGAATATCTGGTCACAGGCAGTCGTTCAATAAGTATGAAAATTCGTCGAAGTTGGGCGTAACGAAGTTGGGCGTAACTTTTTTCTTCCACACCTTGGAGAGGGAATTGGATGGAGGGGTAGGTATCTTTTTTTTTTTAGTGCTACAACCCCACCATCGCACCCCCTGGACCCTGTCTCGCCTGGCCCCTCCCAATTCTGATCCCCAACCCCTGCAGCCTCACTCAACCCCAGCTCGTCTTCTCAGGCTTTAAATTTCATCATCGAACGCGTCTGGTCAAGCTCTGTAACCATCAACCACGCTATTGCTCGTCGCGAGTCCTGCCCAACAAACGAATCCGACTTCGACTTCTTCGACGTGTCTCCCCTCTCCAGATCGCGAAGTTGCCGACAAGGAGCACCGTCACGAAGTACCTACCTCCACAGAGAACCCAGCCACGAAACCCAAACAATGGCCGACAAAAAAGCAAGCGCCTACGGCGCGCCTGCAGGCGACACCGACTTCCGCAAGACCTACGACCTAGACGAATACGCAGCCAAAGCCAAAGACCGCGAGGCCAAAGAGAAAGAAGAAGCCAAAGCCCGGTACGAGGCTAAGCTCGCGGGCAAGAAATACTACAAGCCCCTGACGGGAGACGAGACCCTCACGCAGGCGCGGCGCAACGTCCTGGACCTCAGCGCGCAGGTGGGCAAGACGCAGCTCGTGCCCGCGGGCGCGGGTGTGGGCAAGAGAGGCCGCGGCGCGGGATTCTACTGCGAGCCGTGTGATCTCACTTTCAAGGACAACAAGCAGTTTGTGGAGCACTTGAATACGCCGCAGCACTTGGCGAACACAGGGCAGAAGACCGAGGTCAAGAGGGCGAGTGCGGAGGAGGTGAGAGAGAGAATCGAGTGGCATTGGCAGAGGAAGCTGGATCTGGAAAAGGAGAAGGCGACAAGTTTGCAGGATAGGCTTGCGTTGCGGGAGGAGGAGAATGCTAAGGAGGCGGAGGAGAGGAGAAAGAAGAGGAAGGAGGCGGATGAGAGGAGGAGGGCCGAGAAAGAGGCAGCGGAGAAGGTGAAGACGGAGTATGGAGATGATGTGAGGATCGAGGGCGAGCACGATGAGGATGATATGATGGCTGCGATGGGGATTACGGGGTTCGGAGGGACGAAGAAGAAATAAGCTATGGGGGAAGAGGCGGGCGATTCCGAGAGCTGTACGATGATCAGGACGCGAGCAATGATACCCTTGTTTGGCAACACGATGGGAAGAAAGACCCCAATCTTCGAAGAGTCATCATGGACGTGTAAAGATGTGAATTGATTCGAAGCGGTGCGTCGGTTCTAGGTACGGTAAGTCTTCACTGTCCCCAACCACAAAACTGACATTCCTTCACCGAAGTTCTATCGGTCTGTCTCGGTGAGATGGCTGACCGAAGCCCCTCAGATACCGGCACCTCGAACCCCTGCAGCTCGGGTAACCCCACCTTCGCATTGGCTCCGATTTCGACAACCAGCCCGCGGTCGGGTCCGTTTGCCGCCATCAGTAACCTCTCCACGCTGGATATTTCCAGTCCTTTCCCACCTCACTCGAAGGCACTGGACCAAACGACGAAAATTCGAGCCAACAAAGCCGGCATCTGAACGACTGCCTTCTTTTCTCTTCAATTTACGTCAGTCGAAGCCGCATCGAATTATTTAAACGAGCATTACCCCACGCGCCCCTACTGTCAGCTTTCCCTCAATTATTCGTTCGTGACGTCTCCAAGCGCAAACAACTCGAGACTCGGTTTTGGTGTCACCGTCGATCGATCCTTGCCGCCCGACACATACACACGGACCTATACACAGACAGCTACAACGATTCACAGATCAGGACCTTGCGACACCATGGCATCGTCCTCTGCAGCTGCGGCGTCGCTGCTGGGCCGGCAGCTCAAGGAGATGCAAACGGGAAAGGACATCCCCGGTATCTCGTGCGGTCTGGTTAATGACAACAGCATCTTTGAGTGGGAGGTGATGCTCATGATTAGTGATGACTGCAAGTACTATGGAGGTAGGTTCTCTTTCTTCGTCTTGCTCAAAGTGGGCTCAGCCTGTCGAAGCTTCCCACGCTGGCTGCCCCCTTCCCCACTCCTACCCTCCAGCTCCCCCTCCCACCCTCAACCTCTTCCCGCGCGCAACAGCTGACATTCTTCTCTTGAATCAACAGGAGGCAACTTCCGCGCCAGACTCACGTTCCCGGCAAACTACCCCCTCATGCCGCCCTCCCTCACCTTCCAGACGCCCATCCCCTTCCACCCAAACATCTACCCGGACGGCCGGCTCTGCATCTCGATCCTACACCCGCCCGAGGAGGACCAGTACGGCTACGAGGCGGCCTCGGAGCGGTGGTCCCCTGTCCAGAGCCCCGAGACGATTCTGCTGAGCACCATCAGCCTATTCCACGGACCTAACGACGAGTCGCCCGCCAACGTCGAGGCCGCGCGCATGTTTCGCGAGGAGCGGGAGGGCAAGAATAAGGACTTTCGGAGACGGTGTCGGGCTTGTGTGAGGGAGAGCCTGGGGGAGGATTGAGTGGAGTAATCCCGGGAAAATTGCTCCTTCAGACATCGAGATTTGGGTTTGGTGGGAGCCATTGGGATGGCTAGGATGGAGAGTAGATGTGATCCATGTTGCGACCGGCTGGTTGGGTGATTATCACGAGGCATTAACGAGAGAAGGGCGAAATCTTGACGAGCGTCCTGCATCATGGAGTTTGGAGATATCTACAGCATTGAAGCAGGCTGGGTTGGCAATCAAATTGACGCCTTTTTAATTCTTAAAGGAGTACTCAATATTGCAAGGGTATCTACGTTTGCACGTAAAGTTTGCATATCCTCTCAGGTTTCTTGGGGGCCTCAGCCAGTCCCTGTGGGTAAATGGAAACGATCATGTTCTTTGATCACCACCATCCACCCCCTTGGGCTCTGAGCTTCACGTAACGTAACTCGCTATGCCGTCGCACCTCTCTCTTGGGTTAGGTCGATGGCTTCTCCCTCAGCCTCGAGGCCTTTCGTTTCTAATCCTCTCGTTCTAACATCACCTCCCTCTCTACAGAGTGTGTTCTCCGTTGTCTCTGCCATCTGTCTTGCAGAGTACGACAAAACACGACGATCAACGTCTAAGAAAGAGCGCGCGATTTATTCCCACGCCCGCATGAGCCTCCAGCCTCTCCCCGTCTCCAAGCCCTAGAATTTCCAACGCTTGCCCATTTATTCGAATGAGCAAGCTGGCGTTTCCCCGGGACAAGCCATAGTCCACAGCTAAGCCCCTCCAACCGCGTCCGGTAGTAGGACTTACGCAGGGGGCGGTCGTTGAAAAGCCCTCCTTTATCCCGGGCGCCACAGTTGCCTACAGGAGATCAGGCATGTTGGTTGGAGAAGGGAGCTCCAAGCTGCGGTTTTGGGGTCGAACTGAAAGTGAGGATGGTGAGGTCAGTACTAGCGTATTCAGTCGGCGTGGCTTCTGGGCCTTTTCTTTTTGACCATTGTTAATGATTGCGTCTTCTCCCTCAGGGTACTTTGAGGCCAGATTTGTGTTGGAGCATAGAGCTCCGTGTCCACGGTCTCGGTAGTGCCCCGAGTTCTAGTGACAAGTTCGATTTTGCCACGACGCCAACGACGACAAACACATGAATCGTACACGTACTGCAAAGAATCATACCTAGTAGCAACGAGAACGGCGAAAGACAGCTGGCTCGATTTTAAGCCTCATTTCTGAAAAAGTTCCAGCCGCTAGTCGTTGGTTCTGAATTCGGCGGCGCCGACATACCAAGCAGGCAGGAAACTTCCGCGGCTGAACATCCATGTCTCACACAAACACAAAGTAGTCAAAGCCGGGAGAGAAGGTAACTAAACTGCGCCAAAGCCGTTCTTGTCAATGTCGTGTTTTCCTACCCCGCACTGAGCCCTGCCATCAGCCTACACCCCTTTGCTATCCAAGCTAATAGGCAACTAGGAGCTCGTAGCTTGTCGAATATCACGAGATTGTCCTCGCATCAACATACCCGTCACCCCACATAGTGGCTCAATTATTGGCCAGCATTAGCCAGCACCGTTGGGCGTGACCTTTTGATTAAACCTTTAGCCCCCTTTAAGCTAGAACGACTTTTATCTCAAACTTCATTGCAATGGGACGAGGCTTAGTCAATCCCACGCTCACGCCATCCCACTGACTGCTAAGAAACCAAGAATCTAAATGGTCATGATGAGGGTTCTTCTCCGTGTCCACACCGAGCTTAACTCGGTGTATCATGACGGAAGCGAGTTAGAACGGCCCGTTAGTCAAATCGGTCCAACGGAACAAATCCAGTCGTAAGATCAACCCCCATGCGCTTTAATAACCAGTCACGACGCGTCATTGTTGGAGCCGCAATGTCGGGTGCTACCGAACCAGTCCTCGTCTTACGAACCAGCCCTACGTGACTGCACGGCATTCTTAGTCTTGAGATAGAGTTCGCGCCAGAACAAGACACCTCCCCCCCGTTCAACTGCCTTGGCTGTGATGATCTCAGCGTTAAGCTTATTACTAAGTCAAATTTGGGTTGACGTCCATCAGCGTGAGGTGGGTCCAGGTCGTACGGCCTACTTGCTTCGTGACATCGACATGCTCTGGAGACGATTGCAAGCTCCAGGCAACCACATTGGAACGTTGGTGGTTGAGGTGAACTAGTCAAGTACCACTAGCACGGAAGGGCCCGTCTGTATGGGGGCTTGGGGTAACAACCTAGGCGGTAAACCTATCACCTGGCAAGTTAGATCTGACTCCTATCAACGTTAACTGTCGAATCATCTACTAGATCTACTCCGTCGCTATTATTTTGAGTCCTACCTACTAAGCTTTTCCAGACGATCATGCCAATGTCTGGCTGTTTGTGGCATCAAGAAAGAGATGCTGGAGGCTTTTTGCCCTGTATTGAGGATACAAGCCAATCCACACTCAATGAGATGACGTTACATGTAGGCGATCAGATGTAACTATCGGACTCAACGCAGATTATCTTACGACTGAGACTGCCGTATTTCTGTTATATATCAGTTCATGAATCTCTCCCCATTTCCCGAGAACGATTATGAGCAGCAGCGTTCTCACCTGGAACTCGCAAAGTCAAAGCTGAAGCATTTCCCTTCAACAGTCTTCCCTTACTTCCTATCGATCCTTTCTGAAGACTCCTTTTTGGAACCAAAACCCAACTATCGCAACGGTCGTAACGACAGCACTGAGACCTTTGGGCTCTCGCCTTCAGAAATCTTCCTATCCCCAATTCAACCTCCAAATATATCCACTGAAAGTATGACGGATCCGATTACAGTCGCGGCCATCGGCGCAGCGGCTACGGTTGCTGTATGCCTTATTACGACAGCCGCCCCCGAGATCAAACAGGCCCTTCGATGCCGTAGGACCGGACGGCTGTTTCGCAAGCTCAACAAGGCCCTGCAATGTCCAGAAAGTAAGATTCAGCTAGTTCACTTGATAGTATCTGGCACATCATGCGGAGACTGAAGTTCAAACGCTGACGTGGCATGGTAGAGAACTATTGTGACATTACTCGTTTTATTGAAAAGATATACGACAGACAGCGCCGAGGAAGTTCTCTGACTGCATTTCAACAGGCGGAACTGGCTCGTGCTGAACAAATCTGGTCTACTCTGTGAGGTGAGTCGATGGCTACTAGCTTCAAGATATCGTTTAATCGTATGCCGAGATTGACAAAACGTCTAGAGTTGAGTCATGAAAAAGATCGTTGTATTAAAAGGAACGTGTACCTACTTAGTCATAGTCGTCTTTTATTTTTCTTTTGATCTCAACAATAATTACCAAATAAAAACTTCCCCCACGTTTTCCGTGTTCGACTAACCATGACGCTGGGTAAGTATGTAGATTGTAATAGACTGGAATGAGAACTTCTAGGCCGTTGCGTTGCAATCCACTTTGACTAGAGCCAGAAGAGGTGATCGGATTGCTGAATTGAATCGTGGTCAAAGAAGCGCTGAGTCACTCGCTGTGTCACACTGAGACGTCCATCTACACCTTGGAATCCCGTATGGAGAATCTTAGAGTTCGGAGCCTACAAACTTGTCGAGGCCTTCGGACTCAAAACCCTCGAAATCATGGATCTTCTAAACCATTTTCAGTGAGCGAGGCACATCATTTTTGTATCACAAGCCCGATTCTCAAAAGTCAGATGAGCGTTTCCATTTGTTTGAGCACAACGTGTTTTCTATGGGGTCTCTATGAAAGCAACATCGTATGCTCGTCTCAGATCCGTCATGAGTTTGGGGGAATATGGTGCTCCCAGCGCGGTATACAAGCAACAAGCAGAAGAAGAAAGCAAAAGAGTACAATGCCGCTTGCTCAAGATTGATGAATCAAGGAAAATGGGTATCTGGGTATCAGAATCAGAAGCTCTTGACGATGGGAACGCGCTTTCCGATGATGCCGTCTGCCTCGTCAACCTGCAGCTGCAGGGCGAGAGAGTCGGCGCCTTCGTACTTGCCCTTCTGCTTCCAGAAGAAGTCCTTGCCTGACTTGGTCTTGGCGCGGAATGTAGCTTCGGCCTCGACGTTCATCTTGAACATTGTGAAGAAGGAGGAGCCTACGCAGTACTTCTTGGGCGGGCACTTGAGGTTGATGGTGGCAGACCTGGTTAGGATCTCTCCCTCGGTGTCTTCCTCGGTCTAGGTTGGTCATGCAATTAGCGAACTGTTTTGAGATATATCGATTGATGGAGACGATTGCTTACGGTGGTCTTCTGCACCTGCCAGGAGAACTCAGTCGTAACCTTACTCTTTCCAATGAGCGGGATGCCGGCCTCAGCTTCGACAGCAACGCGGCCACCCACGTTCCACTGGTTCGCAACGCTGAGAGTGTGCGACCTAGTGACGGCATCCATCGTCATGATCGTGATGATTTGCTCAGCGGTGGAGTTACGGTTGTCGACAATCTGGGATCCAACAGTCATGGTCTGTCCGGGGCCGGAAGGCATGATGTTGTCCGTGAAGCCAGAGTAAGCAATGTTGCTGATGGACACGGACTGAAGCTCGTCGAGGAAGTCGAAGCCGAGATGGCCGATCAGACCGATGTTGCAGTACTGCACGCGCATACGGCCGAGGATGCCGGATCCGACGGGGACCTTTTGCATCGGAGGAGGGTCGCGGAGGACCTGGCCCATGGCAGAGTAAGTCTTTCCGCTGGTGGTTGTGAAGTTGAAGCCATGGAAGGAACCACGGTTCTCGAGAACCCAGAATTCCTTGATGCGGTCGCCGTTCTCGAACTTGAAAACGCCGGCATCGGCCCAGCCTTCAAGTTTCTGTTGAATACCATGTCAGACTTATGGTTTCCAGTACCCTGGAGAACGAAAAGGAAAAAGAAAAAAAGAAAGAAAAAACTGTACTTACGCTGGTGATTGAACTTGTGTTTCCACTGCTGCTAGTAGCGTTGATGGCGCGCATGTTGGTAGACCCAGTGAAGAACTGAATAGAATCAAATGGCCCGTTGAGTTCCTCAGAGTGACAGTTGGCAGAGTTGCTATCAATAAGATTGATGTCACCGACATCGACCGAAACGAAGGCATCGCTGGTGGCGACTGTCAAAGAGTTGGGAACGGTGCCCGACGCAGCGTCCTGGCGCTTGACTCTGTTCGGCTCCGGCGTCTGCGTCGGGCGGATAGACTTTGTGAGGGAGTCTTTGAGGCGCTCGAGGCCCTCGAGATCAAGAGGACCGTGGTCTATGATGGTTGGCGTGATATTTTCCAAAGGCGCCGAGATGACCTTGACACCTCGAGCATCGACGCTGCCGACGGGAGAGGATAATGCGAGGCCGGGGAGGAGAGCAGCACCTACCAAGAGGTGCTTGAAAAAGAGTGTGTTGAAAGACATGTTTTCGCACAAGAAAAGAAGGACTGTTTCAAAAAAGATCGACAAGTTCAGAAAAGAACGACTGTGGTGTTGGAAGCGAAGGAAGTTGTTGAGAGACAGGCTGCTGAGGGGACGTTCGTTGATGTCCTCAACCTCCCGTCTTTATACAACTCGTCTTATCTCCATGACCCATGACATCTTTATCTGTTATACCCAAAGAACAGCGCAATATGGACGCCGATAAACTAAACGGTCACACTGACCCGTCTCGAATAGAACCAGACTTCCAGAGTGGTGACCAAGTGGGGCGCGCCTAGTCTTGCGATGCTAGTCAGGGGAAGGGATGGTAGCCTTTCTGGGCTCTCGGCGAAATGGAGACCAGACGAACGTCTTCTTACATAGTATTGCCTAGGATCATGTTATTTATGGTATGATGGACTGCGAGGAGTTTTACATGTTGTGCAGGCCTCACTGTCTTCCAGAACTTAATTTTGAGGAACGTCACATTGAATGGGGGTTTCAGCGTCACATGGAGGTAGATCTTCTCATGCTGAAGCAGGTACCCTGGACACATGCGAAGCTACCACCCGCAGAGCGTTCAGCTACGCCTCAGCCGATAGCCTCGAAAGTCCTCAGACGTGCCAATGAGAGAAAATGGGCACACCCTCAATTCCCTTGCCGATAAGAGCGGTCGCGGGCGGTCTACCAGCGCAATCTTCACGAAAACGATGCCTTGGAAGGGCAAGCCTGGTAAGGCTGATGAGAAGCAGCTGAAAGGCATGGGTTTCCAAGGTATTATCAGGGGTCTCGACTTTCGTCCCCGCATATCCGCACGCCGCGCGCGTGCGAAGGTGGACATCTAGGAGGGGCTCCCTGGCAGATGGAAATAGAAACGAGGGGCAGAAATTCAATCATCTGATGACCCATTGAGCAGCAAGTTGCTCATCATCGTGATTAATCAAGGCATTTCCCAAAAGCTGTTGTTTGGGCAGTCTAGCTTTTAATTTTGTTTCTGCTTGAATGCTAATTAATGAAGCTCTCCATTTGACAGCTGCCACGCTCACCAGGGACATATTTTTTTCTGTGCGTCCCATATGATAACGCCCCTAGGCTATTGTCCATTTTCGGTGGCGAAGTGGAAGATACGTCTTGCCGACTTGCTTGTATCGTCTGATGGTTTTCGGCTTCATCGCAAGTCGAACCTTGGCGCTGAAACGCTACTTGGTCTGCCAAATTGCATCACCTACTATGCACAAATTGTACCTTGGCACGATAATCAAGACAAACGGGTCCCTTATCACAGATTGGTGTACTTGAGAAATGGCAATGAGTCGTTGATAGCGAAATTCTGCCCTGGTTTAAGGTCAAACGACTTGCTTCCACCCTTTCACCCCTGATCTTGGCTGCCACGCAGCGGACGGGAGTACGGCACGAAGCATGAGCCTGACTGTGTGGCTTGAGCCATGTTGCACTTGGTTGACCTTTGACGGGTCCTCCCCCATGTGCATAGTTCATGATGTTCCCGGTGTTCCTCTCTGACTTGCAGGGGGAAATGTGCTCTAGACTAGCTCAAGCTACGGCTACTCCGTGGTAACGCCGAAACGTGGGGAGAGTGGGAGACTTAAATTGTTGACTCAAACGAGGATACTTTCCTGGGGTTCTGAAAGCGGAAGGTCGCTTGCTGCCGAACCGCCGGGTCGGCGAAGATCTACCTCTGGCTAGAACCTCACTCGTACGAGTTCGGCCGGTGTCTATCAGTCGTTAAGTTGCTGCATTTTAGGGTTATTTTTCAAAAAGTGCATGTCCCGAGTACGCCAAGATCGCAATCTTACCTTATGTCCGCGCTTTTGTAGAGTGATTAGGTCTTGTGAGAGCTTTGTCATGATAATCGTATGGAATTACGGGCAGAGAAAGCATTAGTAGGCACCAGTCAGGCCTTTCTCGGCAACTCTCCAAATCTCATTGATACGAAAGTGTCATGACCTCTCCTATCCGATAGAATCGGCCTCGAGAAGCTTGCTTCCTTGAACATATTCCTGCCCGGCCGAAATGGAATGCGGAATCCGCTTGTTGCCCGTTGACCATCGACAGTAAGTGCAACATCGACGCGTTGTGTGGGTAATTGGCAGATGGCGGTGAAATGTCAAGTAAAGTAAGTCTCGAAGCACGAAGAAGCCGGAAATACTTGCCCTCGATATAGAATACGAAGGGTACTCGCCTATCGTGACGCAAAGAAGTTGTGGAGATGTTAGGATTTTACGATCAAGAGCCAAGCTTAAATCTTGGCATCGGTGTGGTATCGCTCAATTTGAGACACGCTACTGGGGGTGTCCATGATTCAGTTGATCAGATACAGGTTGCGCTGACTCGCTTGTGGATAGCGTACTCATGCTGAGTAAACAGCTTCGCGCGTTTACGCGTTGGCACTGGCTTCATCTCCGTTGTGGATAATTGACTCAAAACCACGTTTTCTATCCTTCGAATCGTTGCGCATTGTGGACAATGCTGTGGAAACTTCCTATTCTCCGACGTCTGACCAGCTGGAGTTCTCTCAATTGGGTAGAGCGCACTGGTACGCCGTACACACATCGAAATCAATGGGGTTCGGTTTTTGGTTCATGGGCAGCGAAATGAAAACATTAGCTG